GCTACCCTCCTTCCTTCCTCATTAAAAATATGACATGAGTTAGCTCATGTCATTTACATGTTCATTTCTAGAGGTCTGGAAATGAATTAAAGTTCATGCTTGAAAAATAAAACATTAACATAAGCTTCTTCCAGGATCAGAGAGATGGTGTGATGTTCGAGGGGCCACATGTGAGTGAGTCCTTCCAAAGACAGATTAAGTTTTTAAGCAGTTGCTAAAAATTAATGAGGTTTAATGTGACCTATTTAGGAGAAACAGTTCTTTGTTGTGTTTGATTAGAAGGCTAATCCTCCTATGGGAGAAAACACATACCACCCCCTTTCCTTACCCTTTCTTTATTGGACCCGCCTGTCTGCAAAAGTAAAGGGGGAAACGCCACGGAGGAAGGAAGGCGTGGAGTGGGTCGACGGCGCACTGCTATAGGGGAGGGTTTCACACCCACCATTACTGAATCAGTCCCGCTGAAAAACTGGGGTTAGTGTTGTCCCGGAGCAGCAGAGAGCCCACCCCATCCTTAGATGCTGTAGTAGCTCTGAGGCCCTAACCACCATCTAGAAGCTGATAAAGTTTAAGTCCCCGGTCCAGTAGGTCTCACAATCCCCCTACCCACTATGTAGTGACTCTGGGGTCCTATCGGGGTGACTTCGTTCTGCTAAGGGAGGCATCATCTTTCTAAGCTGAGATGTTCTCCAACAGGACAATGCCACAGACCCTGTGGATGGTCAATGGATATCAAGTGCCTGCCAGGGTGGCCTGACCACTCCCAGCAGACCACAAATGCTGATCTCAGAATCTCTGGCACTTTCCAAAACGTGGCTGAGCAGTAATTTGGAAGCCTAAACTCTGACTTTAGGAATTCATAAGAACAACCAATGTTTTACAAACTCGACAGAAAGTAAAATAAACAAACCCAGGGTTTTATGCTTCCTCTTGTTATTTTTATGGCAATCTTTCAAACTAGTTCAAAATGTTCAGTCCTCTGCCCTCTCAAAAAAACAGTCCTCTGAATTGGGGGGCGGGGGAGGGGGGTGGCGCAAACAGCGATTTAATAGTAACCGGCATATGTTGTAACTCACCACGGGGAACAGTGAATTAGAAGGAAGCCTGATGGTAAAAGTGTGCAGGTGGCTTTCTGGCTGGCACGGGGGTCTCCCTCCATCCCAACCTTCTCATTGAGTGGGCCCAGTAATGAAAACGAGGATGTTTATATTTACCCAGAAGTGTGCGTGGCAGTTGACCATCATGGTTCTCTCAATGAGCTCATCAGGACACTCCAGAAGGTGATGCCCAGAGACCACGCCGGCGTTATTGACCAGGACCGAGACCTCGCCAACCTCCTTGCGGACCCTTTCAGCCATCAGGTAGACATTCTCCCTCTTCCCCACATCACAGGTGTAAGTAAAAACCTGCAGGTTACAGTGGGGCAGAATTTCTTCCTCACCGTTCCCAGCTGTCCACAGAAGTCCAGATGAGGGGGAAAAAAAAAAAAACGAACAGAGAAGGGAGAGTTGCAAAACGTGAGTCACGTGGCAATTGGTAGGACAAAGATCACACAACACAAAAATACTACACTGAGCTTCCAATTTCTAACACTGTCAGGCTTGCCAATGACTGAGCTTACAGCTGCCTTCCTCCCCTAAAAGTCTTGGGGAATTACAACAATTTGCTGGAGAACTTTGCTTAGGGGAAAATCATGTCATTGTGACAAGCCCAGTACAAGTCAGATCTCATGGGATCAGCTTCCTGGAGCTAAAGACACCTGGAAAGAACTGATCTCAGCCCAGGGAGTAACACCCCTCCTCCCAAACATACACACTACACACTCCTCTTTTTAGGGGAACAGTGGCCAGAAGCAGCTCTTCTTACTCTTTAGTATGAGCACCCTCAAAATTAAAACTCACTTCAAGGCTCATAAATCAAAGCTGTAATTAATAATCTGAATTCATCCAAAACCAAGAAACAGAACTTAAAGTTTCTTACTGAAAGTGCTGGGCACACAGGTCTGTTCTAACTGGAGTAGCTGAACTCCTCTCAGAAGCACCCGCACGCGAATCAAGTTCACAGGTAAATATGCAATTTCATCACACAAAATCTCAACTGAGAAACCAAAATCTCTTCCCTGGGAAAAGAATAACTTCACCTCCTTGATTTGGGCAGGGAGTGCACAATCTGTATTTGCTACCCTCCATACCATCATTGAAAATGTAACGTTTTTAACCTTTGATGGTCTGACCTAAATGGCAGGTGCCAGTAATTTTGGTGACAAATGATCACTATGAGGGAGGCGTGGTGCCCAAGCTAATCTCGAGATATATACACACACACACACACACACACACACACACACACACACACACACACACACACATACATACATGCATACATAGTTCAATGCTTTTCCTGGAAAGGAAAAATTTCGTCAAAAAGCAAGCGCTATTATCAAATTTCCTGGACCAATACTTATGGTTATGATCTCCACTTTGGCCTTTTTTTTTCTTTTTTTTTGTAAAAAGTCTCAGGTTCAGGTCAGTTGATAAATATACAGAAATCAGGTTTCCTGAGGTTACCGAAACATGGAATACATTTACAAAAAGCCTTAAATCCTTCAAGTGCTTTGCCTTAAGAGGCAGGGCATCCTTTCAATCAGGCTGAGTATGTAACTGAAGTACTCACTTATCTCTGCTGAAACAATGTATTTTCTCGGGGCTAAAGTTGTAATGAAACCATCAGTCCTGCCCCAGCCTAGGAGGTTCAGACCACACTAAAACGTGTCCGTGCGTCAGTCGGCTCTGAGAAAAACTTCCCAAAGACACTTTATTTAGTTTCCTCTCCTCGCAAGGGCGACGGAGGCATTTCTTTAGGATTCAAGCCTGAGGTTACCAAGTTCCCTCTGCCTGCCCTATCCTCGGAGGGCTTAGGAAACCCCGCAGTCGCCCCCAAAGAGAGAGGACCTGCGTTAAGACAAGGGTTGGCTTACTTTCCCCCTTGCAATAGAGGCGATCATGTTCCTTCACCAAGGGCAAAATCCACTCGCAGAAGACCGTGGCAGGGGGAAGGGGGGGTTCTCTTCCTCGGAGCAGGGCTGACCGTGACAGTGGGGTTTCGCGGTCCTCCGGAGTAGGGCGCGGGGGCGGGGAGGGGCTTACTCAACAATGCTCGCGCGCAGGTCCGAGTTACCTTGCAGCGCCGCCGCGTCCGCCGCCTCCAGGTCGCGGTAGATGTGGCGCACCATGCCCGCCGTCTCCTCGTTGCTCTGAGTGTTGATGTCCCAGAGCACCAGCAGAGCCCGGCGCCGGGCGAACTCGAGCGCAAAGAGGCGGCCCAGGCCGCTGCCGGCGCCGGGCACACCTGG